CCAAGCAAACGCATCTACTCTTATTCAGTATAAGTAACTTTTTACAAGTTCACCTATATGGATCCATACACGTCTATTCCTTGGACTGTTTCTCTATTTAAGAACTAATAGTCTACCCTACCCAATAATCTCACACTCTTAGTGAATCAATGGGATGAACACACACCTTGACAACTTATGTTTTTTGGCAAAGTTTCAAGTTACAATCTCTCAAAAATGCGGCTCTAAGTGTTAATCTCCCTAGGCGTAACCTTTAAACTAGGCGTAACCTTTAAACCTTATATACTAAATACCGCAAACCCTAAACCTAGAGTTCTCTTAATATTCACTAAATCTTCTCCAAATATACTAAAAAAATTCATTTTTCTTCAAGTATATGCTTCCATATTTGACTCCACGCCAAGATCTTCCAATATTCCGTGTATATCCACTGTCTAGCTCAGAACAACTTGACCGAAAGCTTTCCCGCCAATCCAAATTCCATGTTGCATGTACAAATCTCTGTTCGATGTAACAGCTTATGTTTCTTCATAGACTTTTGCATCTTCAGGAATCCATTATTAAAAATGTAGTTACGATAGATGTGTCTTTGACTCTTTGTTAGCTAGAAGAAAATACCTCATTTTAGAAACATAATTTTTACCATGTTTTTATTGTATGAACCAATTTGTCGTATTTGTATTCGGAACATTTTAAAAAGAAAATAATTTAACCTTTCAAAGGATTTGAGGAGATAGACCAATCAAACTCATCCAAAAAATACAATGGACCATGGTAAATGGAAAAGGAAACATTAGAAGATGTGGTTAAGGTTGCGGACCAACATTCTAGGAATGTCAAAGAAATTATTTACCTTTTAACGCTATTCCCTTGTATGATACTTAAACATCTTTGATCTTCCTAGTATTTTTTGGTGTGTACCTTGTTTTAATGCAACCATTTTCTTTTATCCTCGTATTATACTAATGTAATATCCAACTTTTCGTCATAAGAGTTTTAGAGCAACCTCATTGCTAGTTTCTCAATATGAGTTTCTCAAAACCAAAAATCCAAAAGTAATAATATTTTATTAGGTGAATATCTCAAAAAGTAGAAAACCCACCCAAAAATTTTCAATTGAGATACTTTGATAAAAAGTTTTCAACTATCTGAAATACTCATCTTATTTTATATTACTATTTTATTGTAGAACCTCTTATGAGAACCTTCCATTGCAGATGGTGTTATAATAGTTTACGACAGCCTACGAAGATCATGACACCTCCTCATAATGAGTATGTATCTAAGCTTAATAAAAGGTTAAAACTATACTAGAGAACAAAAGTGTTTAAGTTTTCCTGATTAATATATATAGGAGAAGGAACAATGTTCAAGAGCCTAGGCGAGCGGTGACCCAATGCCTAGAGGCTAGAATGTCTAAGCGGAGCCTAGACGATTTAATAGGCGGTCTAAGTGTTTTACAAAA